GAAGAAGAAGAAGAAGAAGAAGAAGAAGAAGTTCCAGAAACGTCCATGACCACTTCCAGCGATGATGCGCGCTACAGCGAAATGCTCAAGCTCCACGACGAAATCGAAGACCTCGAATCCGCCATCGACGGCCTCAGCGACTACTACAAGATCGTCGACAGACTCGGCGAGGGCACCTTCTCGTCCGTCTACAAGGCTATCGACCTGCAGCATTTCGCGTTCGACAACAACGAGTGGGTCACACGCGGACCGCTCGATCCCTTCCGCAAGGGCGTCTGCCACGTCGCCCTCAAAAAGATCTACGTCACATCGAGTCCGCAGCGCATCTTCAACGAGCTCTCCATCATGGAGGATCTGCGCCCCGCAGAGTACGTCTCCTACCTCATCACCGCCTTCCGCTCCGAGGACCAGATCGTCGCCGTCATGCCCTACTCGCGCCACCGCGACTTTCGCGACTACTACAAGGAGATGCCCCTCGGCGACTTCAAGTACTACTTTCGCTGCCTCTTCTCGGCCTTGCACAGCGTACACGACGCCGGCATCATGCACCGCGACATCAAGCCCGCCAACTTTCTCTACGATCCCTCCACCGGTCACGGCACGCTCTGCGACTTTGGTCTCGCCGAACGCTTCGAGCCCACCGAGTGGCGCGGCAAGTGTCACCACACCTGCCCCACACCACGACATCCGCACGGGACCAAGGAGATCAACCGTGCCGTCGACTCGATCTATTTCGAGCCTGGCAAGCCTCTTGCTGGTCGTGTCCCGACCATCGAAGGCTTGGTCTCGGGCAGTCACCACAGCGGGCTTGCAGCGTCCACCAGCGCAGACAGTGTCGGAGGTCCTTTGCGTCCGGGCATCTCGGCCATGGACCCGCCTCCGGAGCGGGTGGGCTATCTGCTCAACGATGCACGTCAGCCCGTTCGTGCGAATCGAGCGGGTACTCGGGGCTTCCGCGCGCCCGAAGTGCTGTTCAAGTGTCAGGACCAGACGGTGGCCATCGACATTTGGTCGGCGGGCGTGATCCTGCTTACGCTGCTCATCCGACGCTTCCCCGTGTTCAACTCGAACGACGACGTCGAGGCGCTGCTGGAGATTGCGGCCATCTTTGGCAAGGGGCGCATGGAGCAGTGTGCGATGCTGCACAACCGCACGTTTGTCAGCAACGTGCCCACCATCCAGCACACGAACACGCTCACCGACTTTATCTTTGGCCTCAACCCGCAACTGGCGCATGCGGACAACCATCCGAATCCGGAGCAGTATAGGCAGGATCTGTTGGATGCGTTGGATTTGGTCAAGTCGTGTCTGCATCTCAACTGTACCAGTCGCAAAACCGCCGGCGAGCTTCTCCAACATCCGTTCTTGAGGGTCGATCCCATGGAGGAAGAGGTGATGCAGCAGGAACAGGATTTTGCAGACTACTACCAGGGCGGTGGGGAGGTGGTGGGTGCAGACCAGCGTATGGCCGAGGAAAACGAGCTCGGCGAGACGGAGGACGACGAGTATGCCAACAGAGAACAGGTTGTACAGCTGCAGAGCAGGCGCGGTAATTCGGCAGAGCCCACGGACGCAGCCAACACCCCACAACAGCAGCATGCAACCGCCACCATCTCACCAGCGCCTCAGCCTTTGTAAGGAAGCCATCTCGGTTGGAAAATTGCGCGAACTTTCACACATTGCATTCTCATGAGTGTGTCGGCGAAGGTGAATGGACATGGATGTCATTTTGAGCGGATGTCGAAAGGCAAGGCTATACAAGAGTGAGGAGGAGGGGGTGGGGGAAGCTTAGGCGTTGTTCTGGGCCTCGGTCTCGTCCTCCTCGGGGATGTCGTCGTTGTCCTCGCCAAAGGAGGCTGGGACGCGGTACATCCTGATGGTCTGCTTGTTGGGGTCCTTGAGCAGCACGTACTTGCCCTCGTCGGCCTTGCGGGCGAGGTCGGCGATGGTACGTACGATACCCCAGCCGTTGCCGAGATTGACGGCCATCTGACCGGCGAGTTCGCGGGGCTTGAGCCACGAAGTGCCCAGGATGGTGTGACGCGAGGCGTCCTTGGGGTTGGCACGCGAGATGTAGCCCATCTTCATGCTGTCGGCACCGGCGAGGAGCGACTGCACGGCAAAGCGCGCGAGCTTGAACGAGTTGTTCTTCATCTCGGTCGCCACCACCGCACCGCGCTGCGTGTCCAGCTTGGAACGCCACTCGGGCGCACCACCGGCGCCCTGGGCGCGCGAGTCAAACTCGTTGAGCGACTTGATGGTGATGAGCTGCTTGTCCTTGTTGGCACCGAGCGTGTAGGCGTCCACCTCGGTACGCACCACCAGCTCCACCGGATCCGCCTCTTCGGACGACAGGTTGAACTTGCGGTAGCGGTACGCGCACGAAGCCGCCGGATCGGTCTCGTCGGCAGAGTAAAAGGGGTTGTCGTGCTCGAGCCTGTAGGCGTTCTTCTCGTTGACGATCTGGAAGGCAAAATTCTGGTTGATGTACGTCGCCTCGAGGCTGAGCGCGCTGGGCGTGTTGAGCGCGTTGGCCTTGGCGGCCGCCTCGTTCTCCTTGCCCTCGGGCGCCTCGCTCGGCGGGTCGGCGGCGTTCTCATTGACGGTGAGGAAGTCAAAGGGACCGCCGTCGCGCTTGTCGAAGAAGACCTTGCCGTCGGCGGTCTTGGTGATGATGATGTCCCACGAGTAGACGGAGCGGGTGGCGCACATGAGCAGCGCGAGGATCGAGTCGGTCATGTAGATCTTGGCGTCGTGCTTGGCGGCAATGTCGTGGATGATGGGGTCGTCCGAGGTGGTGGGGTTGTAGCGCACGCGGTCGAGCGACGAGAGCGCGTGCGAGGTCTTGACGGTGACGCGGTCGTAGGATCGGTCGTACTCGTACAGCGTACCGTACGACGAGATCTCCTCGGGCTCGTCCACGTCGAGACGCAGCTTGCCCAGACGCACAAAGTCGATCTCCTCCACCTGCTCCCAGTCCTGGCCGACGGCGACGGAAGCCTCGCGGATGCGCTGCGGCTTGTCCCACTCCTTCCAGCCGAACCTTCCGCCACCACGGCCGCCACGCGCACCGCCACGACCACCACGAGCTCCACCACCGCGACCGGCGGCTGCGCCGAACTTGGAGGCGCCACGGCCACCTGCGGCACCGGCACCGCCACGACCGCCACGGCCACCGCGCTGGCTCATCTGGCCCAGACCGCCGCGACGCGAAGCAGCAGTGCGGGTGTTGTCGACGACGGAGAAGGAGGCTTCGTCATCGCCGTGGAAGTAGGCAAAGGCGGACGAGGCCGCCGAGGTGCCGAAGTTCTGCTGGACGTCTCGCGCACGGCCCTGGCGACCACCGCGAGCGTTGGCGGCATCGTTGGAAGCACCGGAGGCGTTGTTCCAGTCGGCGATGCGGCCGACCTTGTCGTTCTTTGCGTAAGGGGCGAAGGGGATGTCCTTGAGCTGCGAGGGGAGCGCGTTGGAGCCCGAGGCGGGACCCCAGAGGTCGTTGTCCGGCTGGAGCTGAGGGAGCTTGAAGCTGGCCATAGTTGGCTTTTGTCTGTCGAGGCTACCTATGGGTCCTCGATGATCAAAAAGTCCGAGATGATGGAGAGAAAGGCGAAATGCTGCTCTGTCTGTCGACCGTCTTTTGGAACGCACGCGCGCGAGTGCAGACAGGGCCGCCGCCTTGGTTCTTCTTGGAGGTGCCCGCCTCAGCCAACGCGGCGACGAAGACGAGTGCGGCCGCTGGCGCTCTCTGCAACGACTCGCCCCGCGCTGCCTCACCTTCTGGCAAGATTTTTTCCTGCTGCCAACAGCCGCCGCCGCCGCCGCCGCCGCCGCCTCGGTTCCCTTTGTTAGACTGAGATGGCGAGTGCAAAAATTCCACGTGATGGCTACACGCGCCGAAATCTGTATTGTTAGATCGGTTCCAGGGGGGACGGCTGAGTTGGTCCACTTTTCAGCTTCAACGGAGCAGCAGCAGCTGCCGTTGCAACAGCAAGAGGAGAGCAGGGTCCTCTCAGCTTTGCCACACGCGACCCACGCCTGCACGTCATACTCGCCAAACCAACAACACTGCCCATCCGCCCGAATTCCCGCACAACACTCACTCTATCACTTGCAATCTCCACAGCTCCACCCTCCCCCC